ATTGCTTAGGGTGGCCATGGGGGGAAAAAACAACGTGCACACACACACACCCCCTATGCTAAAACATAAAAGAGTAGTCCTCCAAGTGTGATGTACACGTACATCCTAATCATCTGTAGCCATTGATTAGAATGAACATCTTTGAGTCCCAACGCAGATCCACTAAGTCAAACCCCTGGGCATGGGGCATAGGAGATGCAGTGTGCCTGGCTCCCCAGGTGGTTCTCATGCACAGAATTTGATAAACGTGTTATAGAACAATCAAGCAGTATGACATGCTTTGCAAACTGAACATAATTTAGTGTAACTGAATTGTAGGTTACAGGTGATGGTGAAATAAGACAAGTGAATATGGAGAAGAATGTCATGGTCTACTCGTAAGAAGTCTTCAGTGACACACACTAGGGGCTTGGAAAGTGATGTGAAGATTTGATAGGAAACCACTAAAGAATTTTAAGCAGAGGAATAACCTGATAAGATTTTTTTTTCAGAAATATTCGCCTGGCATCAGTGTGGGTAATTGGATAGAGAGCAGACATAGGCAAGAAAGAAACTTGGGAGAATATTTTAATTTTCCTAGAATAAAGTAAGATTAAAATAGACTTCAATTGACATACTTGGTGATTAATTGAACAGGTGAGCAAAGGGAGGAGAAATAATTTTGGATGATTATGATTCCCGCATTTGTTGTCTCCATCACTAAATTTATAACAATATACAGGCAAAAAATATTTTAAAGCTACAACTCTGTATTCTTGCACTTTTTCTTATATGTGTCACAAGGTCTATATTTTACTAGAAACCTGAGGCTTATAAAGACAAGTTCCTGTTACTATAATAGAGTCCACAAAGTCATAAGAAGCCCAAAGAAAGATCAGTGGACATCCTCCTCATGTTGATTTTTGCACTGCACTCCCTGGGACTCGCCAGAGATTTAGCTTGGGATGCACCACAGCTGCAATTTATTATGGTGCAGCGACAAGCATCCCCTCGCTGGAGAGTATTGTTAGCTAAATTTCCACAAGACTGCGGGGGGAGATAGCGAGTATTCTTGGAGGTATGCGAGCCAGGCAGTCTTGAAGGCTCCATTGCAGTTACTGTGGTTGAACATATGACAGACAATGTGTGTGCATAAAGGAGGCATGAGTGGAAGTCCAGAGTAATTTTTCTTTCAATAGAAGACTGTGTTATTTAAAGCCACCCCATTCGTTTTTTGTCTTTTGGTGTCCCAGAACGAGACATTCCTTTTAATCAGGCTGTCTCATGCCACCACAGTAGTGACGTGTCTTCAAGCTGATTGTGGCAAAAAGGAATTTCCCCTTTGATAGCAGAATATCCTACAACAGCTTTATCAAATAATCTTCATTAATATAAAAGGCAGAGGTTTGGGGTATTAGAACAGTTGTACCAAAAGAATCTCCTTCCTACCCATGATGAACCGAGAGCTGCAACTATAGGCTGAGTGGGGTCCATGCTCCCGGAAGGGCTTTGGCTACAGGGGGGCTTATGAGCAATCAAGCTTCTCCGTATTGTGAAGAACTGCTTCCCCCAACACACATACCACCAGATCCCCAAAGGCTCTGTATCACTCACCTGACAACCCCAGAGCACACAAAGGGTCCTTCTGCTGTAACCATTCTCAAAATGCACCAAAAAACAGTCATGAATACAGGCATTTTCAGCCAAAAACCCTTTAATGACATGCTGCTTTTTCTCTCTAAAAGCATTGCCTCCTCCTCTCCCTCCTTTTAAAAATTTCATTAGCTTTATTGATGGCTTCCTTTGCTGTGCAAAAACATTTTAGTTTGGTGTAGTACCAGTTTATTTTTCTTTTGTCTCCCTTGCCTGAGGAGAATATATCAGAAAAAATATTGCTGTGATCAATGTTTGAGGTTTTATGCCAATGTTTTCTTCTAGGATTTTTATGGTTTTGCGTCTAAAATTTAAGTCTTTAACCCATTTAGAATTTATTCTTGTGTGTGGCATAAGGTGGTATAGTTTCATTTTTCTGCATATATCTAATTTTCCCAACACCATTTATTGAATAAACTGTCTTTAGTCCTCTTGCTTGCTTCCCCTGTCAAATATTAATTGACTATAAAATTGCGGGTTTATTTCTGGGCTCTCTATTCTGTTCCATTGATCTATATGACTGCTTTTATGCCAGTACCATGCTGTTTTGATGACTATGGACTTATAGTATAGTTTGATATTTTGTAGCATGATTCCTCCAACTTTGTTCTCTTTTTTCAAGATTGCTATTGCTACTCAGGGCCTTTTGTGGTTCCATATAAATTTTTGAAATATTTGTTCTAGTTTTATGAAATATGTCATTGGCATCTTGATGGGAATTACATTGAATCTATAGATTGCTTTGGGTAGTATAAGCATTTTAATGATGTTAATTCTTCCTATTTATAAACACAGCATGTGCTTCCACTTATTTGAATCTTCTGTGTTTTTTTCCAGTGTCATATAATTTTCTGAGTACAGGTCCTTTACAGCCCACTGAATGGGACAGCATATTCACAGATATATCTTATCTACTTGTGGGGTTGGAGGGATCGAGAAAAAAAGAAAAAGGACTCATGGACATAGGCAACAGTGTGGTGATTGCAGGGTGAGGTGTTATAAAAGGGATAAATGGTAATGGAAAAAAATATAATAAAAAAGATTCAATAAATAAAATAAAATTTCATTGGTTTGTTGGAGAAACTGAGCTATTTGTCCTGTAGAGTATCCCACATTATGGACTTGGCTGTTTGACTTTCTCCAGTTTCTTCAAATTTGCTCCTTTGTCCCCAATACTACCTTATAATCTGACAATATGATAGTAAGATCTAGAGGCTTAATCAACCTCAAGTTCCATTTTTTCTTTATTTTTTATTTCATGGGACTGGGGTGTGCATTTCTCATTACATTGTGTTAGGCAGCAAATAATGGGCTGTTGGTGCCCCTTTAGTGATGTCAGGGTCATCTGAGGGTCCACGACATTCTTCTGGTTCTTCCATGACACCGCCACCCACCCACCTTTCACAGCATGACTTCTGAACCCACGGATGATCGTTACCTGGATGCAGTCTTTCTTTAGGGGTCTATTCTGCATTTTAATGCATGTATTAGGTAGGATTCTTGTGTAACATTCTCTCAGACGCTATTTAGTCTGCTTGTAGTACAGTTTTCACAGGATGAAAAAAAAAAAAGAGATGCTTTATTTTTTTTCTATTAAGTCATCAGTTTTTAAAGTAGTGAGGCTGCCCGAGGAACCTTCAAAAGTGACCAAAGAGGCATGTGTTTGTGTGTGTAATTATGAACTCATTTTATATTCATGTTTAAATATTTATGTTGTGGTCATTATTTGTGTTGATGCTAAGATTGTCACGTTTTAGGTCAGTGGAGCCCCTTAATGTTACTCTCCTGTTTTTTTTTTTTTTGTGACTTCATTTATTAGTTTTTGATAGGTTCCTTGCTTTTTGGGATCAGATTGCCATGCTTCATTTTAGGTATTCTCTGTTCCAGAACTGGATTCAGCAGTTTTCCCTAAGAGCTCTGGCCCTGGTTCGTTTTAATGAGAAATAATATTTAGAAACCATTATCTGGATGGTAGATATACTTACTGCTACTGGGTTGTCATTGCTTCAAGGACTTTATAAATATCAGTATGAACTCAAAATTTATTTTTTTCTTTGCACAAAATGTATTTTTCAGCCTTCCATTTCAACTTTAAAAGTGAAGGTTTCTAATTTCTTTATTTTATACTTATCTCTTTTTCTCTTAACACTGAAAATCTTGACTCCTAAAGAAATGTAAATCTTATATTTTCTTACTATATATAACATAGTGTTCTATATATGATAGTTTCAAAATAACAATAAGGTTAAATGCAATTTTGGATTTCTTCAGAATTTACTTGAACTTAAGATTATATACATACCCCCAAAAGATATAGTCAAAATACTGGTTTTAAAAGACACTGAAAATAATATATTCTTTGTGTCATTGTGCCAGTATTCAATCTTCACTTGGGTTCCATTATGTTGGTTTGTTTACAATTTTAGAGGGAATGCTTTTTATTCTTTCTTATTAAATTTTTTAATTATGTAAAATATTTACATGGTCTAATATCAAAACTATATAGCAAGGTACATTCACATAAATTTTATTGTCATTCCTGTCTAATCCTCTGTTTCCTCCCTCCGCCATAGGCAACCATTTTTAATATATTTATATTTTCTGTGATTCGTGTTTATACATATTGTTCTGAGCACTGTTTATCTTAATTGTATTCTGAGAATCAAATGATACCTATATATAGATATATTATTCATTGCTCATCTATTATTTTTTCAACCAATGCCCTATTGATAAGCATCTGGTTTGTCTCCAGTTTTTAGTTATTCCAAATATTACATCAGTGAATGTCCTCAGGCATCTCCCTTTTTACATTTTTGTCAAAATGACTTTGGGATAAAGTTTTAAAAGTGGGATTGCTCAAGCAAAAGGCAAATACATTTATAATTTTTCTACATCAAGGGCATACTTTTAAGCATATTAATCTTGCTAAGAAAATGTAGGAATGTTAAAACATCTTTTTATTACAGAGAAAGAGAAGGCTTTAACTAGGACAATCATCTTTTTCAAGAATAGTTTATTAGTATAATTTAAATTATTAAATTCATGCTTAGGCGCTGGTGTAATGTAGATAAACCGCTTGAACGGTTCAAAAATTTTAACTTTAGTGGGTGCCAACCCATTAAGTCTTAAGAAATAATGTAACAACAGGGAAAGTATTAGAAGCCACTATCTATATGTACACACAAACATATATACTTGAGTGGCAATGGGTGGATAGATGGATAGATAGATAAAGAGAAAGAATGTTTTCCCCTGAGAACATTTCTAATTTTAATAAATTTACAAGCTTTTAAATTCAGTCCAAAATTTATTTTATTGTCTTTTAAATGACACAACAGAAATGGAAGTAAGTTAACAATGTCTACATAATATAGCACTCACAATATATTTTTAAACTATTGGTTAATCTGCAAGTTTGTCACCTTGGGTCTAAAATATAATCCAACTTTTAAATGCAAAATAAAATGTATTTGCTGGTCCTTTTTATGAACATATGTGTCAAAAGAACATGATTATGTTATGTTTTTCAGTTACTATCACTGCCTGAAATCAGGACAGCAACCCCAAGAACTGGGTGAGTCACATTTGTTTTCTTTGTTTTATGCAGAACAAGAACTCAATCTCATAGAAATTGTTAAATGGTAAATTAAAAATAACAGATTCACATTTGAGTAGCAGCTACTTATGTGCAAAATTTTCTTAGAAGAAACTTTGATCAATAAAAACTGGTGAATAAATCACTAATGATTTATTTACTCATCCTACCATATTATTCTTGAGGTATAACCATAAGGCAATAATAGCATTCACAAGATGACATGCCAAAAAAAAAATTAAAAAAAGGTTATAACTGTTTCTTCTGAAGTTTCATTCTTCTATCAGGAAAGAAAAACTTTGGTATCTTCTTATCTATCTTCTTCCCCAAGGCTAAAGTCAACAAAGTAAAAATAAACATTACATCAGGCTATAGAATCACTATAAATCACCATTTCCAAAATGCTTACAAACTGACTTCACCTTATTTTTAATGATTATAAAGCCAGTTTTACTCACTATCCACTCAGTTAATAGCATTCTACCTTTAAAACACAAGGATACAGCTATTGTACCTAGCCAGAATAAGCATTTTCACAAAACTGATCAGTACTGAAGTGTTATTTATATAGACGTAGTCTAGAAATGGCAATATGCTATTAGTAAAATGGACACGTAAACTATAATTTTGCTTATGAATTATTTATAAAGTTAGTTTAAAAACTGAATAAGAAAAATGCACTACCTTTCACGCAAACACGTTTGCAGTCCTTCATGCTAACAAAGTTATTGTCGTTCCCTCCACAGCCAGTATACGTGAAGGCCTCACAGGTTTTGTGTCTTGGGTTAAAATGATAGCGTGTGACGTTAGCAGAGCATAGTCCCTCATCTTTTGGACTGTAGCAATATGATGGACCTTTATGAGAAAGAAAATAAAATTAGAAATGCAGTAATACCAGAATTAATAAACTGCAGTGTTTATTGAAGTAGCTGAAGAAATATAAACCCATGGAAGCTTCACGGTGAATCCAAAATACCACTTTAAACCATTTAAAAAGCGTGCCTCAAATTTCAAGGAAGCTTTATATGGTATATTTTGTTAAATCTAAATTTTGATAAACTGAACAGAATTTCTTCTGAAGTTATGTCCGTGTATCATTTGAATGTATAGAGAAATCAAACCCAAAAAACAGATACGGTCAGGTAAAAATGGGTTATGTTTCAAGTGATAATATATGGCATGCTTTGTAAACTTTCTTGTGTTGATAGTTTTATTTTCAATGTTTTTATCAGCTCTCTCTCCATATATTTTTTTTAATTTTTTTTTTTGTTCAAATACATTCGTCTCTGGCTTCCCTCCACCACCTCCCCCTTCCTCCCTCCCCCAACTCCCTCCCTCAGTCCTTCCTCACTGTGGCTTTGTCCATGAGTCCTTGATATACGTTCCTTGACTTGACCCTTGCCTTCCCTTTCCCCGCCACCCTCTCTCTCTCCTTCCATATTAATCAAGAATACATGTATCTAATTCCCAGGTAGCCACTGGAACATTTGCATTTACACGAACAACTTAAGAAAACACCAGCAACAATCATCTCCTCATTAATTCAAGATTTTGCATATTCAACACAGTATTATAGCTGTAGAGCTTTATCAAAGTCTCCGACAAGGCAAATTTTCCATTGTTGAATTTATTTATCTATACATATGCATCTCTGCTGTGCCTAGGGAAAATGCCTGTATTGTCTCACTCTACAAATATTAAATACTGCCCAAGTAACCCATCAATTTAGGGACTGGGGGGATGGTGCAGGAAGGGAGGTATAGATTAAAAAAATGGAAAGGTGAGCACTCTGGCCAGGTAGCTGAGTTGGTTCAGGCATTGTCCCAATATACAAAGGTTATAGGTTCAATCCCTGGTCAGGGCACATACAACAAGCAACCAGTGAATGCATAAATAAGCGGAACAACAAATCAATGTTTCTATCACCCTCCCTCCCTTCCTCTCTCTCTAAAATCAATAAATTAAAAAAAATTTTAATGGAGAGGAGAGAAAAGAGGGATAGAGATCTCTTTATGCTCTGCAATTTGCAATTACTGATGGATACAGAACTCTAAGCAAAAACTTTAGAAAGTTTCAAGTTTTACCATCTTAAGTCTATCTACATTCCTCTATTTCATGTATACCACTGAGTCCATGCAAACCTGATGTCATGGCATTCATTAACGAATACATACTGTAATTTTACATGTAAATCGAATAGATGAGAACTATTTCTAAAGAAACAATGCAGAGGAGGAAGCAAAAACTGGAACCATGGCTTTGTGGTCTGCCAGCCCTGAGAACCTAGCAAGTCATTAACTTCCAGCTTGCACTCTCATAGGTGAAAGTGGGAATAATGATATTCTTTCTCAGAATAATAGTGTGAAGATTGCTGTCATATTATATATGGAATCACGACAATGCAATCCATGTGTTTTTCATATCAAATTGATTTTTTCCCCTTAAAGTCTTAATAAAGAAATGAAATAGAAACCCCATAAAATTAGTATTTACGTTTTCTTGGTGTACAGAAGTCCCTGCAAGTAGCTTCATCTGGGAACTGGTTTCCGCTGCGCTGACACCCGCCAGACATGAATTTTTCACATGCCATGGAACTTAGATTGAAGAAATAGTCTCCTCTGGGCTCCCCGCAATGCCCGTCACTTATGTCCAAACGGCAAATTTTGGGAACTCCTAGGAAAAGGAGGAGAAAAAAAAACAATTAAAAATTGGTCTTCTTTGTATTACTTTCAAAACTTTACTGTATTTTCAGAAAAAAAAAAACTTGGGGGGAGTGAGAAACGCTGTCGTATTTAGTGCTAGGATAGTAAATCTCCAAGACTATCCGTTGATCCAGTAAATTAGCTTTTTTTTTTTCCTTTACAGCATTTCCAGACCTGACTGAGCTGTGATCTTTCAACTCCATTAGACAGACTGTTTTCTCAGGGTGTTCTGCTTGTTCTACATATGAAGTTAAATAACTTATTCACAGGAATATGCATTTTCCCCTGGCTCAGCTTCCTGAATGGCAAAGCCCCATGTTCTGTTACAGTCCTTGAGAGGTATAATAAACATGATTAAAATAAGATAGAAAACAGTGTCCTGAACCTCCACGATATCCCTGTACTCACAAAGACATATTTGGTTATGAGGCAAAAAAAGTAAGGCTATAGGTTAGCTAAATCACAGTTAAATAATAAAATCCACTAAAAATATTTCCGATCAATGGGAAATTGACACGAGGAAATGGTGTTCTCAAGAAGGAGCAAAAACCATAGGTTTAGAACTAATGAAAAATGCAAAAAAGCACTTATGTTGCACCTAACACAGTAAACCCTTGCATTATTTTGCCCTAAAGTGACATCTCCCCCGAGTCTGCACGTGCAGGCTGTTGTGATACACACCAGTCAGGAGACAGAAAATATGCTGCAAACTTGTGATGACTTTCAGGAAACTGAAAACCAGGGAGCCTTGCTTAGTGTTTGAGAACACTCAGGCTAATGGCACAGACCGTAGAAAATGAGACCCAGAAAGTTAGCTAAGTGGCTGCCAACCCTTCTTGGCCAGGAGCGGCGCAGGGTTCTGGGTGTGCTCGCCACAACTTACTCTCTATCCTCCAGCAGGCTTCCTCGCAGGCCTCCTTGGTTTCGAAGTTGTTGGCGTTGCCCTCGCAGCCCCCATACACGAACTGGCTGCAGCTCTGAGTGTACCTGTTGTAGTAAAAACTGGGGATCCACGCGCGGCAGGGCCCCACCTCCGGTGGCAGGAGGCAGATCTCCGCGTTGTTTCCTACGGGAGGGGCAGGAGAGCCGGGGAGAGGGGAGGAGGTCAGCCACATCCCCAGGGAGGGAGAGATTTCCGGGAGCACAGGGGCCTCCACCGAGAGAAAAAGTACACACTGGGGCACCAGGGCCATTTCCCACGACAAGAGCCTGGGGAAAGCGGGCGGAGAGAGCAGTAGGGGAAGCCCTTGCAGCCGGGCCAGGAGCAAGAGGGGGACCTGGATGGGACGATACCTAGCGGCTCCTGAGCAGCAATGCCAGGCGCTGTTTCCATCAAGAGTAACTGCAGGAACAACAGCCCGAGGGTACAAGTAGGGTCCATGGTGTCCAGGTTCAGGTGGCCCACGGGACTAGGGGTCCCTCGGATGCGCCGGTAGGAGAAGGGAGAGCGGAGTCCAGCCCCCGGGCGTCCTGGGTGCTGGCGGTGGGTGTCCGCTTTATGTAGGGTGAGCCTGGACCCGGGCGGGGCGGGGCGTGCCTGTGCGGAGCCCGCGGGGAGGCTGATTCATGCGCCGAAGCTGGGATCGCTCTGCGGTCCGGACCCTGGAGAGAGCGCAGGGGGAGAGGAATTTCCCTCGAAGTCGAATGTGCCTCGCCAACTTTCTCTTGAGCCGGCAAGAATGACCAACGGCGCGTTCTGTGTCACTGATGGGAAATCGGGAAACGAGAGGGAAGTAATTGCATAAGTTTCCAACTTTGTAGCATCATCCAAAGCTTGAGTCTACATTTTAAAGCACGAAGTCCACGTATTTGAAGGACAGAGAAAAAGTGTGAAATTCATCGGGCTGTGAGGCTCATTGTAATATATCCCTTAGATCAGAAATTTAAGTATATGTGTATTTATTTACATTTATACATACATATTTCAATCGAGATCCACTTTACACTTAATAAAAGGCCCATGATATGTTTTAAGTGGACAGTTTCAAGGATTTTCATAACTCCGTACATCCTTGTCATCACCACCCAGTCAGATGAGAACATTTCCCTCGCCCCAGAGCCTTCCGTCAGACCCTTCCCACCTTCGGGCCAGAGGCAAGCGCTCTTCCGGGCACCACAGATGGGTGTTGCCTGTTCTTCAATCTCGTGAAAATAAAACCATACAGCAACTACTGCCGTGCACTTTTGTTCCACTACAGGTTTTGAGACACACCTATTTGTTGTACAGTTTGTTCCTGTTAGCCTTCCAAGGTATGGATATACCACAAATGTCCTGCTATTGGACATTTGCGTTGTTTCTAGTTTGGGATTCTTAGGAAAGAAGCTGCTTTGTGTGTGCGTACAACTTGTATTACGCTGGGGTAAAGTATTGAGAAAAACTAGAAACCGCCAAACAGTTTTCCAAAAGCGATTATACCATTTGAGACGCCCATCAAGCATGTGTAAGAGTTGCAGCTATGTTCCTTTGAGCAGGAGCATAAAAGTCCAAAGACAGGTGGGTGCGGGGGGGGGGGCGGGGGGGCGGATACTGACGCTTCGATCAGATCAACCCCTCCCCACACAATGTCAGCGCATCTATTAAAGTCCATTGCTCCTTTGGCCTATTGGCCTGGATCTAACTTTTTATTTATAGAACACAAATCATCTACTCTGGGATTTTACATGAAATATTAAAGATATTTTTGGAGAACATTTTAATGAGTTTTCTTGATGAATGGGACTTCTTTTCCTCCTCTTTTTCCTCCTCTTCTATTCAATACTCTCAAGAGAATTGTTATTCCTGGCTTCTGAGGATATGGGAGAGAATTACAGGATTTCTCTTCCAAGTTCCTCAGAATCCCTGTGCTCACAGTTAATAATCTGTTAATAATCTGGGATACTTTTCACCCTATAGCCTCATGCCAGTTTTCAATGATCCTGATGTCATGGCATAGATCACATTTCTAGGGAAACCAGCGTGGTCTGGAAATATTCAGTGTCATTTATGCTATCAGATTACCAGGTATCTATGGTTAAGAATGACCAAGATCAAGGATAGATGTTTAACAACCAGCTTTCCAGGAAGAAGAACGGGGCTGGTTTGTACAGTTTACTGATTTCCATGGTGCAAATGCTCTCCCACTATGGCCAGTTTCAACCATCCGTTCACCAGAGCCAGTGTAAGCTGGCGCTAGCTCACCTGCCAGTGAGACAGCCAGCTGGTTTTAGAAAGACACAGTCATAGGAGAATCAGATTAGGTGTTCCACTAACTCCCAAATACAGCTGGGAGAGGGGAATTTTTACCAAACCTTTAGCTGGGATCATGTTCAGAAGAAAAGTTCATTCAACTTACCTATTTCCATTCTTCTGAAGATGATTAACTCTATCTTCCAAATGGGCTAAAATTAATTGGACTGAGTTTGAGTCAAACTTGTCATTCCACATTGACTACTGTCACTTCTGTTGTTCTCAGCTGCTGGTCTTTTTTGATCATCTTCTGTTTCATATAAAATGAGAAATCTTTTTAATTAGGGCAGATTATTTTGGGAAATGGCATGATGTAATAGGTAAGTAGACTCAGGAGTCAAGGATACCTGGGTTTTATTCTTTGCTCAGTTGGACCAGTAGTATAAACTCTAAGCCTCAATTTCCTTATTTGTAAAATGGATATAATAATTGTACCTTAGAAGTGTGTTATGAGGATTAAAGGGAACGGGGCTAGGCACTCAAAGAGATGTGCTTCAGCTCCCCACACACAGGCATGGAATCCACCCTGCTCATCGCATGTCCCAGGTCCCACTGTGCCTTGGCATCAACCACAGTCAGGAAGCAGAGCCACATGAACTGCCCTTAAACGACTGATCTCTATGACATGGATCCCATCAGCTCTTCTCTTTGGCTGGGCTCAGAGACTACCTGTCTGCCTAGAGAGGGTCACACAGTCAGACATCACTTTGTGATGGTCTCTTCTGGAGAAATGAGTCTCAGGGTTCTCTCAGCCAGAGCAGAGTGCTCAGTCCACTCAGGCCTGCTGTGTAAGCACGTCGAGGGGAAGGGGAAGGGGGAGGGGTGGCAGGAAGGGGCCATCAACTCCAGGCTTTTCTCCCCTCTGTGGCGCATCTGTAGGCACAGGTGAAATCCATGACCAGAATTATTCTAGAAATGTTCGTTTCCTTCCCTTGTCCTATGCTATATGGGGTGCATCTTTAACACCTCGTGAGTACAAAGTGGGGACAGGGAAGAAGGAGAATTGAACAAATGGGGTAGTTAGAAGTTTGAGATTGTTAAGCCAGGTTATTAGAAAGGAAATTGGTCCTCTTATTACAAATCACTTGAGTATTTATATATTCATGAAAAACTTTCTTGAAATATAAGGGGAAACCTAATTTCCTGGGAGTACTTCAAATTACTAAATTTATCCTCAGGCCATTGCAGAAGGAGCTATGTGACTACCACAATCAGCCTCAACAAGGGTGTGTCATTGTACTTCTATCCCCTTAAACCAGTGTCTAAGCCAAAGGCTCTGACGTAGCTGAGGAAAGCAATCCCTTTATCCAAAGTTAACAGGAAACCCAAGGCTGGAGGGAACTGGGAAGAACAGTCACTCAGATTGATTTGTCATCCATTGCAATGCCAAATGACAGCTCAAGTGACTGCAGCTAAAGACAGAGGCTCAAAGTAGTTTGGAGTTCTGTAAAATAAGGCATGGAGTTCTTATAATTAAAATGATGAAAGGAATTATAAATACCATCTGTTCCAGTGTTTCTATTTTACAGCGTTACAAAATCAAGACCTGGTGACATAAAATGGGTGGTCATGTTTATTTACGTCAGTTGTTGGCAAGGTGAAACTAGAACTCAAGTTCTTGTCACTTTGCTCTATATTCTTCCTCACGTACCCAGACCCAGGCTCTATTCTACCAAGACCTTAGAGTAGATCAACAAAGACAGGATTAAAACACACAAGCACTACAGTGAGCTCATGAGCACCTGTCAGATCCCCTCCTCCTCTCTCTCTCTGTCTCTCTCTCTCACACACACACACGCACACCTGCCACCACTGGGCCCCATAGCATATGGATATAAAGTTGGTTTGGAACACATTCAACTCCTAGGATTCCCAAGTCTTTAGTTTGTTGTTCTATCCTCTGAGAGCCCCATGGGCTTGGAGAGTGACCATGAATTTAAGGGAAAGGTTGAGACAGATGGTCTTCCTCTCTATCAGACACCTTAGAGAGAGGTGGCATGTCTAACTCATGGGTGAATGAGGAGAATTCATTGAACCCAGTGATATGGGAATCTGTATTATATAAAACATAGTCACTTAAGGAGTTCCACTGATAACTCCTTAAAAATTTTTTTTTTAAAAAAAAGGCTCGCCGCCTGTTAGTTTATGCCTTGTCAAAGTAAAGTCTGAAGTGAGTCCAGCTGGCACCAATGAGGATTTTACACATCTGCTAAGAAAGCCAGTTAATCTCTTCTGAGAGATTAGGGGTCACGTGGGTTTTGTTAAAGTTTAGGCAACTGCTTCACTAATTAGGCATTCTTCTAGCAAGTTGGACCGAGTAGGAAATGTTTACTCTAATGCGCCCTCTATCCGACTCAGAGCGCATTTCTGAGTGTTATTATATAATAAGTTGATGCCACATAAAAGTATGAGACATTTCCTATGTGTAATTTTGTTATTCTCGTTCTACTGAGGAAGAATGAGATAACGGAGTGTATAATGTGACTCTTACCATGGCCATTCTTTCATTCACCTGTTTAAGAAAGAAGCAGATTAAATATGAAAAATGTGCCAAACTCTAGTAGGTATTTGAAGTAACTAAGTACATTAAGAATCTCATAGCATAATAGGGTAGACATATGAACATAATATAACCCTGTTGCAATATGGTGTTCTTAGTGAAATATTAAAATTATGTATCAGGTTCTATGGGACCATAGAGGAGGAAATAAATAAAATTTAAGCAAGAGCTCAATTCAAAATAAAAGCCTACCCACAGGAACATATCTAACATTACATCTTCAATGCCTGGGACACAGAAACTCAATCCTTCATCAGCTAGTTGCTTTGGTTGGTTCTTTAGGAGCTGTGGTTCTAGCAAAGCATTGCCTTCTGCAGGAGGGCGGAACCTCTGAAACCCCTTTTCTCTTCTTCCTAGATTCACATCCTCTCAAACGTCATGCTTACTTAGAATGTTGGCCATCTTTTCTCTCACCCAGGTTGTTGCATATTTAACTATGTAGGGCACCCAGAAGGTTGAGACAAATTTTGAACTATTTAATCCAAGACTTTTCCTGTATAGTGCAGCTTTATCACTTACCCAGAATTCAATCCACTGGATAGTGGCATGTCAAGAATGGGAAAAGGAAGAGAAAATTTCCCCTGGTTGCTTTATATCATGTGGGAGCTTCAATGGCAGTAACTATAATAATGTGTGAAATGTTTATTGAGAGTTTCTGTTGTATTT